CACGCACACGCACTCACACACGCAAACGCACACACGCACGTGCACACGCACACACAGGCAAACGTACACAACACACACACACACACACGCACACACACACACACGCACACACGCACGCGCACAAACACGCACACACACAAACACACGCACACACACACACGCGCGCACGCACACACATACATACATACACACACGCGCGCACACACGCCCACACGCGCACGCAGACACCACGCACAGCGCAGAAGGAGACGGGTCCGAGCCTGGGAACGTTCCAGTCGAGATCGCTCAGAAGTCGTGGTCTTCCTTCATCGGGCCCGTATTGCCTGGCACCGGTCGCTCCTGTCTGACTCGCAGGCGTTGCGGCGGCGGGGCGCAACGACACTCGCCGCGGCGCACTACGAGGTCCAAGCTGGCGCTGCGCGCCAGCGGGATCGGCTCCACGTCAGAGCCCATCGTAACACGTAGCCTCTATTACAATGCGGCCTGGTCGCAGCTGTGGCATGGTTTAGGGGAATGTATTTATCTTTCGGCTTTCGCGAGTTCCGTCGCCTGTAAGACATGCTACCCCTTGACGTCAAACTCGCTCTGATGAGCGACGGCGCGTTAAGAGTCAGCCCCTTCATATTCATATTCGTGCGCGGCGGCCTTGTCCGATTGTGCGGTCTGGTCGTTCGTCTTTATTCTGTTCGTCGCGAAGAATCAGCGGACTATCGCAGGCGCGTGCCAGGTGGCATTGTCTGAGTGCGCGGTCTCGATGTTCGTCTTTATCTTGTAGGCGACATTTTCTCTCGCTGCAGCGGGGGGCTTGCGCGGTATTCGAGTTGGCGTTGCCGATGTTTGCCGCCTGCTGATAAGGGCGGCCAGCTCTACCAATGTGTCCGTTGGTGCTTCGATGCGTGCTGGTCTCTTGTCTCTCTCAGACTGGTCATTGTCGTGGGCGCAGGTGCTTGTTTGAGAAGGTCCTTGGGGTTCTCTTTCTACTTTCCAACATCGCCCGTGTCATGCGCGGGGGCGAGCGCGCGAGGGGGGCGTCCAAAGCTGCGCTGGTCCCAGAGCGTCCACGCTCGCGGAGAGTCGGCGACGTGGATCCGTGGCTTCGGGAAAAGCAGCAGCCTCGGAATATTCATCGCGCTTGCGGGCGGCAACTTCGCGGCCTTCCCCCGCGTGGGCAGCTGCTTGGGGCTTCGAGCTCAGCGGCGGCAGCTTCGTGGCGTTCTGCTTCGTGGCGCTCGCGTTCGGGCAACCCTGTGGTGCTCGCGCCCGTGGGCAGCAGCCTCTTGGTTCCAGCTGGGTGGCGGCAGCTTCGTGGTGTTCGCGCTCGCGGGCATCGTCGTGCCTGGCGCACGTGGGCGACTGCTCCGCGCGGTTCAAGCTCCGGGGCGGCAACTCCGCGGCACTCGCGCTCGCGGGCCGCGACTTCGGGGTGCAAGCTCGGCAGCGGTAGCATTGATGTTGAGCTTTAGCTTCGCGGTGTGGCGCTCGCGCTCGTTGGCCGCGCCTGCGTTGGTGGGTGCTGCTATGATCAACCCGAGCATGTTGTCATTCTCAAGCTGGGCAGTTTCGCGGCGGCAGGTGCGAGTTCGCATGGTGACCCTACGACCGTAGTGGTCTACAGTTAGGGGAGGTTTCTTCTTCCACGAGTCAGATGACGCTGAGCCGCGTGAAATTCTTATGCTCGCGGGCAAAAACTTCGCGGTCTTCGCGCTCGCGGGCGGCGTCTTCGCGGCGCGCTCGCGGGCGTAGCGTTTGAGGCGTTCAAACTCGGCGACAGCAGCTTCGCGGCCATCGCGTCTGGAGGTCGCGGGCCCGAGGTTGTCGTGCCCGGGGGCGGCAGCTTCGCGGTGCTCGCGCTCGCCAGGGGCGTCTTCGCGGTGTTCGCGCTCGCGGGCCGAAGCCCCGCGGCGTTCAACTTTGGAAGTGGTCCTTCGGGGTGCGCGCGCCCGCAGGCGGCCGCTCCGAGGCCTTCGCGCTCGCGGGCGGCAGCTTCGCGGTCTCCAGCGCTCGCGGGCGACGGCTTCGCGCTGTTCGCGCCCGTGGGCGGCGGCCTCGTGGCCTTCGCGCTCGTGGGCCGCGGCGTCGGGGCTCGAACTCGGCGGCGACAGCTTCGTGGCATTCGCGCCCGTAGGTAGCAGCGTCGAAGTGCAAGCTCGGCGGCGCGCTTCGTGGTCATCGCGCTCGTGATCGCGCTCGTGGGCGGCGGACGCTGCGAGATCCCGCTCGTGGGCGGCCACTTTGTGGTGCTCGCGCTCGCTGGGAGGCCATTTCGTGGTGCTCATTCTCGCTGGTTGAAACCTCGGGGTGCTCATGCTCGCTGGCGGGCAACTTCGTGGCGGTCGCGCTCGTGGGCGGCAGCCTCGTGGTGTTCGCGTTGGCTGGCGCGCCACTTCGTGGTGTTCACTTTCGTAGACGGCAGCTTCGTTGATTCGCGCTCGAAAAACTCGGGCACCTTCGCGATGCTCGCGCTCGCTGGCAAGTAACTCCATGGTGTTCACGCTGTTGGGCCGCCGCTTCGTGGTGACCGCGCTCGTTGGCCGCAGCCTCGCGGTACTCTCGCTCGTGGATGGCCATTTCGTGGTTCCCGCGCTCGCTGGCAGGCAACTTCGCGCGTTCACGCTGGTCGGCGGCATCTTCGGGGTGTTCGCGCCTGTGGGCCAGCATCTTCGCGGCGTTCACGCTCGTGGGCGGCAACTTCTTGGTGTTCGCGCTCCAGAGCGGCAGCGTCAGGGTGTCCACGCTCGTAGTCGGCAGCGCCGTGACTCCCAAGCACGTGGACATCATCGTCATGGTTGTCACACTCGTGGGCGGTCGTCTCCTGGCGTTCAACTCTGTTGCGCTCCATGCGTCTCCCAGCGTTTTCGGTGGGACGCACTTTAGAAGGAGAGGGATCCGAGCCTGGGAACAATCCAGTCGAGATCGCTCAGAAGTCGTTCTCCTTCCTCCCGTATTGCCTGGGGCAGGTCGCTCCTGTCTCGCTCGCAGGTGCTGCGGCGCGCGGCGGGGTGCAGCAACGCTCGCCTCAGTGCACTGCGAGGTCAAAGCTGGTGCTGCGCACCAGTAGGGCCGGCTCCCCGTCAAAGCCCGTCGTAACACGTACTTAGCCTTTATTACACTGCGACCTGGTCGCAGCTGTGGGATGGTTTAGCGGAAGAGTTGATTTCTCTTTCAGCTTTCGCTGGCTCCGTCGCCTGTAAGACACACGAACTAGCACACGCACGCACGCAGCGGCACACACGCACACACATAAACACACACACACACACATGTATATGCACACACGCGCGCACACACGGACACACACACGCACACACACACGCACACACTCAACTACACACGCGCGCACACACACGCAGAGACACTCATGCACACACGCACACACATGCACACACGCACACACGTACACACGTACACACGCACACATTTACAACCACACATGCACACACGTACACACACACGCGCACACGCACACGCACACACACAAGCATGCGCACGCACACATACGCACACGCACGCACGCACGAACGCACGCATGCAAACACACACGCACGCACGCACACAAACACAGAAACACACACAAGCACACACGAACACACACAAACACACAAACACACACACAAACACACACACAACCACACACACAAACACACACAAACACAAACAAACAAACACAAGCACACACGCGCACACACACACACACACTCACACACACATACACGCGCACGCGCACGCGCACGAGCACGCGCACGCGCAAGCGCACGCGCGAGCGCACGCGCACGCGCACGAGCACGCCCACGCGCACGCGCGCGCGCACGCGCACGCGCACGCACGCCCACGCACGCCCACGCACGCAAGCACGCACGCACGCACGCACGACCGCCCGCACGCACGAACCCACCCACACACTCACACACACTCGCACACACACGCACACACACACGCACACACGCACACGCACCCACGCACGCACCCACACACGCACAAACACACACACGCGCACCGACGCACCCACGCACACACGCAAACGCGCACACACACACACGCACAGACGCGCGCGCACACACTCGCAAACACGACACACATACAGGCGCACACACACACACACGCACACACGCACACACACACACCCACACAAACACACACACACATCCACACGCACACACACAGACGCACGTACACACACGCAGACGCACACGCACGCGGCCAGCGCGCACACACACACACACACACACGCACTTCCGCACAGACACATACACACACGCACGCACAGACATACACACCCGCACGCACACACGCACACACACACGCACACACACACATTCACACACATTCACACACAGTCACACACAACACACAACGCACAACACACAACACACGACACACAACACACACAACGCACAACACACAACACACACCACACACCACACACCACACACCACACACCACACACCACACACCACACGCACACACGCACACACGCACACACACACACACACGCCCACGCCCACGCATTTGCACACGCACACCCACACGCACACGCACACACACACACACACACACACACGCACACAAACACACGTACGCACACGCACACACACATGCGCACACACATACGCGCACGCACACACACACACACGCATACACACATACATACAAACACACACACACACGCAACACACACAAGGGGACAAACACACAAAGACATGCATCACCCACAACACATACAACCTTCACACAACACACACACACAACGCACAACTTCACAACACACCACACACAATGACACACACACGAACACGCACACATGCACACTCATACACGCACGGACGCACACACTCACACAACCACGCAAACACACACACACACACACCCTTCTCACACACGCAACACAAAACACACACACACACAGCACATAACAAACAACGCACTACACAACACATCCCAACACACACAAACAAACAAACGGACGCACACACAGAACGCAGCCTCTGGAGTTCCTATTTGCATCTGGGGGTCGGCGGAATGGCATAAGCCGCCAGAATACAAAGTGCCTGTTGGCCCTGTGGGCGTTTTGCGACGCGTTGTGGGGACTCTAGCTCGAGGGGATGAGGGGTAGAAAGAGCAAGAAAAGGATGAGAAGGAGGAGTATGTGCAACCCCTCGACGTCGGACGTCGCGGAGAAACAAACATGTCGTGACCAAATCATGACTGGGGCTGCCGCTCCCGTCGTCCAAGAGATCTGGGGCCGAGTCGATCCGCGAGGGCCTCGGGGCAGGGAACAGGACGAAGGTGCAGGTCGTGATGTTTCCGCAGTGCCCAGACCTGAGGGCGGAGAGATCTGCGAGACGATGTGGAAAAGACGTCCCAAGCTCTGTGAGCGCGATGGGGCCTTACACGGCTTGCGGGGCGGCGATGTGAGCCCCAGCCACCGGCATCGCACCCAAGGTCCTCACCAGGGACAAGGAGGACGAGGAGGCGGGCGAGAGGAGATAGCCTCACGCGTGCGACGCCTTCTGTAATGCCTCCATCCACTGGGTGCGGAGCTCCTCCGTCGCCGCCGCAAAATCTGTCGGCGTGAACTCCACGCCGTCCTGGGCTCCTCCTCCTGCTCCCTCCTCAGCCCCAGCCTCCTCCTCCTCCTCTTCCTTCTCGGGTCCCCCTCCTCCGGCTCCCCCTCCTCCCCCATTGGAACCTGGAACCTCAAAGAGCCCTCTTCATAACCCCCCGACGTTTACAATGCTTGGCATGCCTCAGACTATTGTTACCAAAACTCTGACACCGAACTGCATGTTTCTGAATAAGAAAATTCACTTTCACACCGCCTCCAGAAGGTATTCCGTGACATACGCGTATGGCCGTTGCAATGCATGTGCACGCCGAAGGCTGCTTCTATAGACCACCAGATTATTTTGATCAGATCGAGCATCCAACTTTCCTTGTCTGAACGTTGAGCTGGACAAATCCTCCTCCTGCTCCCTCCTCATCCTCCTCCTCCTCCTTCTCATCCTCCACCCTCCTCATCTCCTTCCACATCCTCCTCTTCACACTCCTCCTCCTCTTCCTTCTCCCGCATCCTCCGCCCCCTAAACTCTTTTCTAAACACCCCCGATGGCCCCCTTAGCACCCGCTGAAGCTATCTAAATCATTCCCCCTCCGCCCCCCCTAAATCATTCCTCCTCCACAAAGGCCGAAAGCCGTACAAAGGCCGAAAGGCGTGCTCCGCCCTCCTCTCTCGTCCGTCCTCGCCGCCGAGCGACGACCAACGACGACGACGGCGACGAAGAGACTGCGCTCGTCTCCTTGGCCGGCAGGACGACGTGGAACCCCCACCTAAGCGACAAAGACAGACGGGCCCTGCGCGAAAAGACGTGGCCACCCTACGGCGAGTTTGTGCCGTGACGACCCTGGCGCTTCTCTCTGACACCGCGTGACTCGTGCAATCTTGAACGGCCGCGGCTTTCTGGCTTCGCGGGGCTTTGTCTGTCGGCGGACTCAGAGGCACCGGTGGCGCTTAACCTTGAACGCAAGCGCTGGGGTCGCCGCCGCGTCGACACGACACGACCATGCCGTACGCGACGGGCTTTGCGCAGGTCGCCGACGCGGCACGCGGCACGCGGCGCGAGAGAAGAGGGTGCTCGCGCGGGCAGCTTGGGCCCGAATGTCTTCGCAACCAGCCCCCCTTCCCTTCGCGGTGTCGCTCGCCTGAAGGGGGGGGGCGACACCGGGGGGCACTGGCCCAGGGGGGGAAGCATCGGCTTGGGCTCGGCGATGCATCGCCGATGGATCGGCGATGGGCTCTCGACGGCGAAGTCGCGCGCCCGTGGGCAGGGCGGGCCTTCAGTCCCCCCCGGTCACCTGTGGTGGCTCGAGTCCGTGTGGTCGACCGCCACGATGGAGGCGCTCGCCAGGTCGTCATGGGTGTAGTAGACGAGCTCCCTGTCCTTGGGAGGTGGAGGAGTGCGCGATCGGCCGACCTCCCCGAGGAAGACTGAAGGTCGACGCTCTCTGATTTCTTTGGCTCTCTCTGGGCCTCCTGGGGGGGCGGCTCCTCGCGGCCGCGGCTGGCTCCTCCTCGGAACCGTGGCTCGAGCTCGCCCCAGGAGAGCTCCAAGGCCCGACCTTTGAGCACGAGGAGGGGGACCCATGTCCCATGACCTCCGGTAGAGGGCTCCCAGATGGGGTCGGAGTAGATGGGGTCGGAGAATCGCGCCGCATCGCCGATACATCGGCGATGCATCGGCGATGCATCGGCGATGCACTGGCGATGCATCGTCGACGTGGGCGATGCATCGGCGACGCCAGCGTGGAAAAGATCGGTCTCCGCATCGAGCCGCATCGGCGATGCATCGGTGATGCGGCGCGATCCTCCGACCCCATCTACTCCGACCCCATCTGGGAGGCATAGAATGTCCCATGACCTCCGGGGGTCGCATCAGCTGGTGACGGCCGGGCTTTCCCCCGCTCGGATCTCCGACGCCCCGTTGCTGGCCGCGGGGCTGTCGACGACGGCCCGGGAGGAAGAATCGGCCCGGGGGGCGGGGTCGTCGAGAGCTCTGGGGGCCCACGGCAAGAGCAACACTGGAACGCCGGAGGACCGGACAGGAACGGTGAGCGGGGAGTAGCCTCCTCCTCCTCCTCCTCCTCCTCCTCCTCCTCCGCCTCCTAGCCCCCTCCTCCTCGCCCTGCAGGAGAAGTCCTGGTGGCGTGCTGGCTGGGACCTGGTGTCACGTCGGGGTCCTGGTCTGGTGCTGTCATGGGGGTGCCCGTGGAAGGAGGGGGCGGGGGGGGGGGGACGGCGAGGAAGAGCCCAGACCTCCTCCGGGCGTTGTGGGAACTCACGACGGGCGTCGTTTCGCAGCATTGGCCTCTGGGGGCCGCTGCTGGGCACCCACTGCGACCCGCCAAAAGACAGCCCGCGACGGAAGTCGGTCGTGGGGATGGGGTTGAGGGTTCAGGGGGCCCGCACGGTAACACATCCCCGACGTCGTAGGTCTGCGAAGAGGGAGGACGTGGGCGGGTTTCAGAAGTCATTGGAGCATCTTTATGGTGCTTCGATCTTCCAGAGGATGAAGGAGATGGGGGGAGGAGGAAGTGGGGGGGAGGAGGTAGGAGAGGAGGGACTGGGGGGAGAAAGGGAGGGGGGGAGAGCTAGGTGTCATGGGGGGGAGGTGCGATCAGGAGGGGGGGGGAGAAGGGGGAGGAGGAGAAGACAAGCTAGGCGCGATCGCGCCACACCTGACATATTACCCCTCCCACTCATCCCTTCCCATTGCGCTGATTGCTCCTATCCTGTCCCTACCCGCGGACGCGTGTCATAGCAGACCTGAAGCTCCAACACAGACCCCGTCGTGCTATGCCCAACTGTATAAAAGGGGAGCTGCGTGCATTTGAGGATGAGGTGGCGGATGAGCAGGAGGAAGAGGAGGCCGAGAAAGGCGGAGGACGAGGAAGGACGAGGAAGGAGGAGGACGAGGAAAGACGAGGAAGGAGAAGGACGAGGAAGGACGAGGAAAAGGAGGAAGAGGAGGCCGAGGAAGGAGGAGGACGAGGACGAGCAGCAGCAGCAGCAGCAGCAGCAGCAGCAGCAGCAGCAGCAGCAGCAGCAGCAGCAGCAGCAGCAGCAGCAGCAGCAGCAGCAGCAGAACTCCCATCGGACGAGCGGGAGGAGCACGAGGACCAGGGGAAGGCGAAGGCGGGGCAATGAGGGGAGCGACACCTGTGAGGAAGGAGCTCGGGTCCAGGAAAGTGCCCCGCGCTGGGGCGAGACAGCCATTCTCAACGACGGGAGCAAGGCCGCCATCCTAACGCAAGAGGCCCACGCTGTAGCGGGAGCACCATGTTGGAATGACCGAGGGCCCTCGGAGTGGACTGCGAACCATCAGAGAAAAGCAGCTGGGGACCATGCTGCGTGTAAAGACAATGCGCCACAGGCCCAGGCGACGAGCGAGAACAGGGGGCAGACATTGTGTGAACAGGAGGAGGAGGAAGAGGAGGGGAGAGGAGGAAGAAGAGGAGGAGGATGAGGAGGACAAGGGGCAGGGAGAAGCGGATGGAGCAGGAGGATCGGGGGAGGGAGGGTGCGGGGGAGGAAGGCAGTTATACTGGTGGGAAGATGAGGGGATGAGGGACACGGGGAAGAGGAAGAGGTGGATGAGGAGGAACAGCGCCACTGCCATCAGGGAGGAGAAGCATGAGGGGAACGAGGTGGGAGCAGGAGGGGGATGCAGAGGGAGGAGGGGGAGGGGGGAGGGTCAGAGGCGTGAGAGGATTCCAGGTCCACGTGGATCCCTGGAGGCTCTACATAGTGGTGCGGGGGATAGGGGGAGAGGGAGTCGGGGGATAGGGAGAGAAGGAGGGTGGAACGGATGATGATGATGATGATGATGATGATGAGGAGGAGGAGGAGGAGGAGGAGGAGGAGGAAGAGGAGGAGGAGGGAGGGGTAAACGGATGGGGCGGCAAGGGGTCACTCCATCCCTCTCTCCTCGCCCTCCTCCACTTCCCCCTCGCTATCCTCTTTCAAGCTGAAATACACCAACGTGCCGTTCTGTGATATCCACATTTCCCGCTCGAACCAATTCTGCTCTTTCGCCTTGTCAGTGTCGGCCTTGAGTTTCCACAGCTTCGACTTGAACACTGGCACGTGGTCGCCGCTGTCCTTCTCGTTCACCTTGATCCGCCTGTTCTTGACGGCCAGGCGGAACTTGTGCAGCTCCCCCGCCATGGTGTGGCCCAAATTCATGGTCTTCACCGCCATGTACCGTGCCGACTCGAAGGCCCTTATCCAAGCCTCGTAGTCTCCCTGGGACGCGCACCCGAAGAAAAGGTCCTCGTGCTCGTGCGCGTCCTGGTCCGCTGCGACCTTGATTTCGATGGCAGGATCGTAGGCCCCCCCGCTAAAAAGCGACACTTCTGCGGTGGCCAGATGGTGACCGTCGATCAGAATCAGCTGCTTGTCCGCCTTGAGGCTGTGGTAGCACAAGCTCCCGTTGCCCGCCAGCCACATGTCCCGCTTGAGCCAATGCTCCTTCTTGCTGGGGTCCCCGCCGTGATTCAACTTCCACAGTAAGCCCTTGTACCGGGCGGTGTGGTCGTGGACCTCCTTCCGGTCGTGCCTCCGCCGTTTGGTCGCTTCGGTGGAGGGGTCGACCACGGCCCAGGTGAGAGGCCCAGTCTTGCTCTTGGCAAGGTGGGCGTGCTTGAGGAAGGGGTGGTCCAAGCTCTCGGCGAGCGACCTGCGCTTCGCGGGGTCGACGCAGAGGAGGAACTCGGACAGCAAGGAGAATAACTCCTGATAAAGGAACATAGTCGCAACCTGTGTAAGGCACCCCGTCAACCCTCTGGGCGGCCGATGGCCTAGAGTCGCGTCCAAGCGTCCTACCGTCATCTCTCCAGTCTTTGTAATCCCTGGGAAAAGGCGGTGTCGCTCCTCCCCCTCTGAACGGCCCTGTGTGCTCCCAGCTTCCGCGGATCGCTGGGCGCCAAGGCCCGCCTGAAGGGCACGGGCCTGTAAATCACATCATGAAGCGTGCTGCTGTTGGCAATTTCTGGACCCCCAACATGGCCTTCAGAGGGCCGGCACTTTCCGCCTTCACCCGCATCTTGCTCCACGAGGCTCACAAGGTGGTGATCCAAGAGTCCTTCAAGGTGCTTCCAAGAGGCCCCCCAGGAAAACGTAAGGAAACTTTCAGGGAGCCTCCAAGAAGTGCCCCAGGAGTGTCGAGGAGGCGCCTCAGGCGGCCTAAGAAGAGGCCCCCGAGACTGCCTACGAAGTCTCCAAGAGACTCCCGATTCAGCCGAAGAGGCCCCCAAGAGGTTACGAGGTTTCCAAGAAAGCATCAAGAGGCTCCCTTAAGGCAACTCAGACGCTCCCCACAGGCGCCCCCAGATGGGCCCACATCCTCCGGGAACTCCCAACACTGCACAAAAGGGGGCTCCGAGAGGATCCAGGACTGTTCCGCAAGGCTGGCGACGTCCTCTGGAGCTGCTCTCGTGCGCCGGCATCCTCTGGAGCTGAAACTTCCCAGAGGCTCTCAACAAGGGTGTCGTGACACTTCAGCATTGTACGGCTCGTTTTCCAGCTCCTTTCGCTCCTCTTGTCTTGCGCATCCCTACACTCGATCACAGCGGACTGGGTGATACCACCACAGTTCAATGAACTACTTGATCAAACTGTGCCAGCCAAGACCACAATTTCCGACCAGCCCAGAGTAGACAACTGGAGCGACCAGGCAAAACCAGAGCGGGGAAGGCCAGAGCGGGCCCAACGAGAGGATACCGAGTCACCCATTTGTCCACAACTCCGCTCCCCGCCGACTGTGATCACATGACATCCTTTGGGGTATCACGTAGGAAAATGAAGAAGATGAGGAAGAAGAGGAAACAGAGGATGTGGAGGAATCGGATGAGGTGGAGAAAGAGGGAAGATGAGACACAATTTTAAACAAAGGATCGCGACGTCGATGAATAATGGTAAAAGCGAGGTCGACGAATGGTACGAAGACGAATGATGGTTTGACACACATATATATATATAAATATATGAACAGGTGAATTACACATATGTGTACACACATGTGTGCACACATATATATCTATATATATATATAGACGTACACATATATGTGCACGTATGTACCTATAATATCCGCCACCGTACCCTTAAGGCAGGACTTGGAACGTCCCCAAGTCCTTTGCACAATCCCCTGGAGCCTCTGTCCTCAATCTGGAATGAACAGTAAGGGTAATGGGCTCGACCATGAGGTGATCAACTGATAACCCGACTCTTGGGATCACGTCGGCGACGTATCGGGGTATTTCACACCTCATCTCATGATGGCAAACATGAGGAGAAGTATGGGAGAAACCATGGGATGGAGAGGTGGATCATCGATAGACGTGTCCTTTGTCTGATACGATGGTCCCAATTGAAACGCACAAAATCATGTGCACCTGGCAAATAGGATACCGCTGCCCTAAGCCAACACAGCGTCGGATACAGCTTTCGCTATACAGCCTCTCCTTGATCCTCGTTAAGAGTCGGGAGGGGAAGGACCGAACGCAATATCCAGGTCCAAACGAATGAAGCGGAGAGGAAACAAAGATGAGGGCATTGTTTTCCAACATCCTCAACAGTGCGCGATATGAAAGCACAAAACAAACAGCACAGAGTATCAGGGCCGGTCCTGGCGTATTGCCACGACCAGCCGCATACGATTATGGGCATTCACGGACAAGACCGAGTGAATGCCCGCAGACAATAATTAGGGGGACGTCCAACCAGTGGGCCGGACGTCATAGCGTGCATCGTGTAAAAGGCATATGACCAAGCGGTCAGATCCCCTCAAACAACCAAGAGAGAATAGTGCCCGTGTCCGGGCACTGATGGTAGCTGCGGAGCTATGAATGTAAAAGCCCGTGGCCTGGCGAGGATAACTACTTGTAGGTATATATGCCCGTGTCCGGGCAATGGTAACTACTTGTCTGTGTTTAAGTAGTCGTCCTCATTGATATCCGCTTGCCCTGAATAGGGCTCCCCTATGTTGGTGCTGTTTGTCTGGCCTCGATACGGTCTATATACATCTGTACTTCGCACTTGAAGGACTGATTGCCCTCCATTACTTGATGCAGTACTGCACGATCGATACACCCTTTGGTATGACCGTCAGCAGTCATATCCCGTGTATCACACCACTGTGCGCTATAAGCTATACCTCGGTCCATCAGTTGTCTTATTCAGCTGATCTGTCCCAACAGGGTGCATTCGATCGGCTTCCTCAAGTCCTTCTTTGACAGGGATGTAAAGACCGACTCAGCGTCTATGGTACGGATGGCCCTAATGCTGAGACCACCTAACTCCATACTGTTCTTGAGTTGAGTGGGCGTTAGCGGCCCAGCTTTAAGCGCACGTAGCGAGACTATGGTAGGGTAACAGTCCTCAAGATTATGAGCGGCTGCCAGTGTTTTAGCTGAGTAGCTGAAACGCACCTGCAAGCGATCTGACTTGCAGTATGCATCGGTCAAATGTTTCACTGGTTTGCCATTCGGCGCGTGTGCGCGCAGTACGAGGTTGGCTCCTCGGATGCCATATCCCATTGCCTCGTCGTCTTCGCCCCCCTTAAGAAGACGATATCCGGAGTCACTGTGCAGGTCCACTTCTCCTGTCGGAGTCACGAACTGATGAATAATCTTCCGTGGGCCTTGCTGAATGTTGCGCGTGACGGCGTCGAGTCTTCGTGCTTGGAGGTTTGTGGGTTCCTGTGCGCGTTGCAAGGGTACCGCGCGCGCCATTAACCACGCCTGCGTGATGAATGCATGCGCCACGGCGCCGAGTAAGCTGATGAACATGTCGGATGCTGTCTTCGTCGCCTTGTCTTTCGCTGCAGCGCCCGTAAGTTGTGGGCGCTGTATCGGACTAAGCTGTTTAATGCATTCTGCCTGATCTAGCTGGACGTGGGCGTCATCGGTCTGAGTAAAGCGCGCGGCGCAAGTGGTGTAACAGTGTTTTCAATGTGCATGCGCCGAACGTGTGTTCCACACATTTGACGCACTTGTCAATCGTGTCCTTGACTCCTGCCATGTCTATGTCGTCGACGTGCCTGGCAGTAAGGAGGTGCGGGCTAGTCTCGAATTCTTTATCGTGTGAAGTATGTTGACGCCCAAATCCTCGCGTGATGCTTCTGAATTTCAGTGGGGGGGCGCCCTAGGGGCGTCTTCGGTGCTGGTGCTTGGCATAAGACGCCGCAGGCAATGCCTTGACTCGTCGTGGGACGAGAAGCCAGGCAATGTGCGTAGCGCCGAGGCTGAACCAGGTGGGAGAGCAAAGCAGACCATGCGCTCCTCTCCACATTGGCTTCTGCCAACTCACGGTAGGTCCGACCTCTCAAGAAAGCCTCATCGATATCCGCGGATGCCATGATCCATTGTTTCTTGCACGCGGCCGCGCTGGTGAGCAATCTCTGGCTTGCTCGACGAGCTGTGCCTGATAAGGTTTCCAGGTCGAATGCTTCGACGTCCACGAAGCCACGGAGAACGAGGTGTAGTCGTATATTTCGTGCCATCTCGCTTGTGTCGTTCTTGACAAACTTCCACTTGTGCACGCACCTAGAGGTCATGATGTTAATGGCATTCTTGATGTCCTGCATCTTGAAACATTTGTTATCGTGCCATACCTTGAGTTCCGTGCACGAGCTTTGGATGTCTTTGTCGGGTTGGCTTGTATCTCTGCCTTCGTTCGGAGGTCTTTGTTTTTTGTGACAGCAGCTCTTTTAGCTGCGGCTGAGACGTGCGCGCGCGTTGTGGTGACTTGGTCGCTGTGTAGTGACTCGCGCCGTTGCCCTGGCGGAACAACCTTAGCCATGTCAACAGTAAAGCATAGATCATCATGCTGACCGTGCTCGTCCGGATCGAAATCTTAAGTCTCGTCGTTTTCTGTGACCCAACGTACCAGACATGTTTCGTCGGTGTCATGGTTACGAGCATAACCTATTTCTCGCAGGTGTGTTTGCTCCTCACTGGCCACAGCCGCGAGCGCGTGGTTGTCTGTAACCATCTCGGTCGGTGCAGAGCACAGGGGCTCCCGTGGGGATGTCTCGGGCAATTTCTTTTCCTCTTGGATCCCGACGTGCCGCGTTTCCATGGTGTGTGCTTCCAGATCCATTACATACTATTCAACAATTGTCGGTAGTCTGCCGTCAAGTGCGGCCGGCGCTGGAAGTCCTCCTCCTCCTGGGCGTGGCCGCCCGACGCTGGCGTGTCCGCCGGGCCCTCAAACTTTGAAGGGTTCTCATCAAAGCTTGCTCGAGGTTTTGAGGACTTCAAGCGCTGGGTGACTCGTGCGTGTGTGGTTCCAGTGATGTCGTGAGTGTTGAGGGCGGTGCCTTCGGATTCGCTGTCGTGAAATCCTGGAGTGACGTCATTGTCATGGTAAGCCAGGGCGCAGCTATCAGCATAGGGTGCCGCCTGTCACCCGTGGGTGCTATTAGCCAAACGTGCCGTTGCATTTTT